CACCTTAATAGTGGCATTAATATAAGTGACTGCATGATGATGTTGTGGCAGTAAGCGGAGTTATCAATGCGGAGGGTATGCTGGTGCCCTTAAGAGGCAAATTTTTAAAAAAATGTTAAAATATAATACATCACATGCCCACGTGGGGGTTTTGAAACAAATTTAACACTGCCAGCTTTGCACAGATCCACAAATGTAAGCTACATTCATGTCTGTGTTTTTCCGTCATATTCCCGTGGGCAGCTCATCACCTCTCTACCAGAAAATGTACACTACCAGTCAAAAGTTTGGACAAACCTTCTCATTAATGGTTTTTCTTTATTTTTACTATTTTCGAAATTGCAGATACATGCTGAAGACATGAAATATATAAAGCAAGATTTATGGAATTATGCATTATAGGAAAAATTGATAACTTTAAATATCTCTTATACAGTCCCATTCAAAAGATTAAAACGTCTTGAAAAATGGCAAAAAAAAAATCTTATTTTGCATGGATCTTAACAAGGTTCCAAGTAGAGCTTCAACATGCAACGAGAAGAAATGGGAGTGAGACAAAACATTTTTTGATGCAATTAAAACAATTAAACTGAAACAGGCGGTTTTACAGCTGATCAAAAGTTTAGGACCACACCTCCAAAAAAGCCCCCCCTCCTAAACTGAAGTCGAAGTTCCAAACATGAAGTCAGTAATGAGTAGTTCCACGATTATTTTTGATCACTTCGAAAATTTGTTGCTGCATGCTTGATTGCAAGCCTTTCCTTGAGGTGAATGAGAACATTTCTCCAAGTGGTGAAGATGCCTGGAACTTTTGTCCATTTTTGTAAACTTCCCTTGTCATCCATCCCCAAGGTTCTCAACTGGATTTAGATCAGGGGAACACGCGGGATGGTTCTGAAGAGTGATGTAATTCTCCTGGAAGTAGTCCCTTGTTCTGCGGGCATTGTGTACTGTAGCGTTGTCCTGTTGAAAAACCCAGTTGTTACCACAAAGACGAGGGCTCTCAGTAATGATGGATCCTCTCTGCAACATCTGGACATAGCCAGCGGCCGTTTGACGCCCCTGCAACTCCTGAAGCTCCATTAGGGAGTTGCCTTGCAACTCTGCAGTTCTGTCCATTTGATTTCCACCTACACACAAGAACAGTTAATGTGATTAAATGAACAGATGAGACAGTTGTTGATGACAAACAATAGTATAAAATGATTAGGAGAGGCTAAATCAGTGCACTAATATACTCAGTTTAGGTGTGCTTGATCCCCCGTCTGAACTGTCTTAATGGTCATCATCTCATATGTTCTTCAAAGGTTGTTGGTTTTCCATCATTCCCATCAGCAGTTCATCCAACTGCTCCGTGTCCTTATTTGCAGGTCTTCCACCAGTCTTAAACCTCTCTTTTCTGGCTTCTGCAACAGTCGTTTTTCACTTTTTTTTAATATATATTTTTAAGATAAGATAACGCTTTATTGTCATTGCACAGTCATACCTAGTACAATAGTACAAACGAAATTGGAAATTGTCCCACGTCAGCACTATGCACAACTGAACACAACACAGTAACTTAAAGTGTTTTTTTTTTAAAGTGCAAAAAAGGTTTGTGCAAAAGAAAAATGAATGACTTAATAAATATATAAATGAATGGGTGAATGTTCATTGCACATGATGGCCAATCAGGTCAGCTGTTAGCATTGCTTAGGGCTATTGCCCTGTTGTAAAAGCTGTCCTTGAGTCTGTTTGTCCATGTACCAGTACCCTGAATCTCCTGCCAGACAGCAGCAGCTTAAACACCCGACCTGGGTGTGTGCAATCCTGTAGGATGCTGTGTGCCCTCTTGAGACAGTGAGTGCTGGACAGGTCCTTCAGGGAGGGAAGAGGATGTCCAATGATTTTTTTGGGCCATATTAATCACCCTCTGTCGTGCCATGGTGCAGCTGGACAACCATATACACCACTAGTTGTAGGTGTATTAAATGTTATTAAACATTTTTTAATTGCATGGATCAAACAGAAAGGAAAAATGCATGGACATACTTTTTATTTTTAATGTACTGCTTACAGCATTGATAGAGGGAAAAGTAATTCACTTTAGCAGAAAGCCAAGAACAGGGTGGTTTTGCTTAATATTTCAATTTTCTTTCAATTTCAGATGTAGTTCTATATTGCCAAATGAAAAAGAAACAGCACATCCACACATATAGAAACATAGTGGTGGTAGTGGTGTTAGTAGTTTTCTGCAAATGAGCACCAAGTATTTCTATAGAATTTAAATAATTATTTATTTATTTATTTTTGACTGAATAGACTGTACAAGTATTAGTTGTAATGTTGTGGTTCTTTCTTTTTGTTTCTAGTTGCACATTTTTAAGCAAATGCCACCACAAGAGCTCATTCATTTCAGTTTAAATTTTTTTTCTAATGCCAAATCACAACTAAAGTCACCTCAAGGCACTCGAGTTTTGGACAAAATTTGATTTTTTGCCAAACATTTCTAGACAGCCACCCTTCCATTGAGACCATTTTTGTTGAGGCTTCACTGAACAGTAGATCGATCAGCTGGAGGATTAGATGCATCTCAGCTCTGCATCTAAGCAAAGGTCCAGCAAAGACCTGTGCCAGGTCTTTGCTGGATTCTTTTTTTTTGTTTGTTTATTTGTTTGTTTTTTAATAGATACTGTTCATCTGCTCTAGATAGTTTTTTTTTTTTTTTTTTTTTTTTTTTTTCTTAGGCCTGCCACTTCTTCTTTTGCCCTCCACTTGTCCAGTTTCCTCATATTGTTAAGGATACACTGCACAGCATGCTGAGATATGGCAAGGTTTTGGTTAATATTTCTTCAGGAATTACCTTGTTGGTGTAGATTCAGCTGCATCAGGCTGCATGTAACAAGGTGCTTAAACATAAAATTTATGATTGGTTTGCTAAGTTGTCTGTAGACACAACACTGGCTGATTCTTGATTTAAATGCCTTTTCATGTTTGAATGATTGACAGGTCAGTATCTATAATGGGAACTCTTAAGTGTATCTATTACATCTGTGGATGTAATGCAGCAAGAGTACTGACAGGGACTAGAAAGAGAGAGCA